AAGCGAATTCAGGTGTTAATACTTTATCAGCATGTGGACCTTCCGATTTCTCTCTTTCATACGAGTACGCTGTAGTCACTCAATTTTTTCTCACCGTTCTTTTCATTTTGCAGATGTTGACGAGTGTGCCTCATCACCATGCCAACATGGCAAGTGCAGGGATAGATTTAATGCGTACAAGTGCCATTGTGCGGCCGGCTATACGGGAATCCATTGTGAAACAGGTAGGTTGGTGATTTTAACGCATAATCTCATCGCAAAAACGAACAAAATGAATACCAACGAGTGACTGTGAGATTGAGTATGTGTGTGTGTGTGTGTGTGTGTGTGTGTGTGTGTGTGTGTGTGTGTGTGTGTGTGTGTGTGTGTGTTGGCGGTCAATTCATCAGCCTTGCAAGCTGTTGAATGGTGTAATCCCAGCACAACTTGCTATATCTAACATACATGTAGCTGTTCGCTATCATCGCTTCCGCGATGGGGCAGGTCTGTGCACACGTGCATGAGTGGAAGTGTATGTGTGTGTGTGTGTGTGTGTGTGTGTGTATAATATACCGTGAAGTCGAGGATAAAAGCCGGGTTTGCATGCAAGCACATCGCGGATAGAAGCCTGAAAATCAAACGGGTCAAATGCATATAAGCCTGTCGCGCGTAGAAGCCTGGCTTCTATGCAAGCGCGGATCGGGTAGGTCAAGTGTGCATGCGCTATGTAGAGGGGACGGTTTCAAATAGGACACCGGTTGCAAACCGGAACGGACTCAATATTCACTTTCTCTCTTGGTATTTTGATTAGAAAACATATGTCACAGTGAGACTACTATGTGTTATACTCCGAGCCAAAATTTCATGGCTCTGCGATGACCGGAAGCGCCATATCAAGCAGGTGAGTTTTTGACGTGTTGCTTTGCACTGCGACTTGAGTTTTACGACTTTCGAAAAATCAACTTCTTGTCGCAGGTAAACAGCGGCTCGCCTCTCGCCAATAAAGCACCGCATACCAATCAAAACTAATGGAAGCACACACAAGGCTTATTGTTACTCTGTACTGGCCGTCGTAGAGCGATAGCAATTACCTAATTTCAGACCCAGAGTGAATTTGACGTGCACTCTAAAACGTGTCCGGTTTGGAGCCACCTCTGATTTGAACTTTTTTGAAGCGAAAAATTGGGCAACTTGGAGGCAATGGGTCAACACAAAGGAGTGGCTCAGTTCGATTGACTCTGGCCCCAGAGCAAACTTCAACATGCCAGTTTCCTTCCACAAACATATTTCGAGTGAAAAATCAACGCTGATGATCGGTTTGGGTCTATACAAATTTGGCTGTCAAAACGTCCCGGTATCGAGCCGTCTCCTCTACAGTGCATAGTAAAACTGCCGCCATACCGGTAGTCAGTGGTAGATCTACGCGCATACAAGCCTGGCAAAAATATTAGTGGTGCATAGAAGCATGCTGTGCATACAAGCCTGGTTTGCATTAAGGCCTGAAGCAGAAAGCGGCTTATATGCTTATAAGCCCGGCTTTTATCCGCGACTTTACAGTATGTGTGTGTGTACCTGTGTGTGTATGTGTATGATAGAACTGAGTCACCAACATAAAACTCCAATGATCTACACAAATGAGCGTGTCCCTCGAGACAGCATGGCAGATAGTAGAATGACTAGTGTAGATCTTGTTGCAGTGAATCATCATGAATACAAATATACCAAAATTAAAATAATAATAAATTAGGGGCTCGGATGGAGAGCCAAGGAGAAATTTTTAATGAAGAAAAAGGACCAAGATACTACTCTACTTAGGAGCTGTTAGCAAGTTAGTTGTAGAACGTCAGTACTGTCGGTCAGTGCCGTGCAATGTTATCGCATGAGCTGATTGTTTAGAAACTGGTGGTGTTAGTGGACAGTATAGCGTAACTTGTAGTTTCTTGGTCCTTTTTTCAATAATAAATTATAAATAAATATTATGCGTAAACTTGCCTACTTTCAAGTGCATTTTTCTGCCCTTGACAGTGTTTGCGATAATGTCTGTTTTCTCACCTCACAGCCCAAGTAGTATGTGCAGCGTAGATATTACTGTGCTGTGTGTGTATCATGTTCATTGTACATGTGTGTGATTGTGTTGTGTATTCGGTGACGGTCTCATGCAGATATGGACGAGTGTGAGAGCAGCCCGTGTCAGCATGAGGGGACATGTCGAGATGCAGTCAATGCCTATACGTGCTTCTGTCACCTGGGCTACGATGGTCTCAACTGCGAGAACAGTAAGCTGACCTACATTGTGTGACATGTATGTATTTCGAAGTCCACAAATGGTGCTCTGGTGACATGCTGATACTGAGACCACTGGTTAGTGGAGTGCCTCCAGACTCACCATCACGGTTACTCTGTAGCTACCACCCTTCCATTGTTCTTTCTTGTCCGTTTCAGGTTCTCCCATTTTCCCTCTCCCAGCGGGGCAGTGTTTTTGAAGTAAAAAAGAGCTTAAAAAAGTAAAACAAAAAACACACCATGCAGATGAACTGTGTGGATGACGACTCGTTGGCAAGTCACGTGATCACCTCAAGTGCTGCTGACACAAGATACAATATCAGGGACGGGTACAATGCTGAGGGTTTAGTTTAAAAGGGGGTGCCATCATCACATAAAAGCACAGTTCAGCTGCACCAGTGTTCCCAGGGAACTTCAAGAAAAGTCTAGGAAAGTGTAAAGAAATTATTGTTTTAAAAAGGAACTCAAAAATCATCCCTGCTAGATGCGAGCCGGCGCTAAAGCGCTCCATGCCCCCATGCATATAGCGCATGTACATGTATGATGTCATTCTACTACCTGTACATTCCATGGCGCTAGCATGAAGCTTCTAAATGCCTTCCTTGCTGTGACACCATCGTGATCTCACTGTTTTGCTGGGTTTCCCACTAGGCCGATTTTTCGGCGGATGCTCACAAAATTGGTCGCCTGTGTTGGACGAGTGGGACTGCTTGTTTATACCCAACGCCAGTGATGATGGCGTAGGGATGGTCAGTGCACACGCGTACATGTGGTACACGACCACGCTGGATTGTAGAGACCAGATAGCGGAATTGAGATAATTTCCAGATAAGTTACTGGTCTAGGAGTAAGGGCTAGCAAAGGTTATTGTCTCGTATTGATCCTGTTTGGCGTTCTGCGCTCTTTGCTGTCTTGGTGAAAAGCCGTCAGTGACTGGCTGGAGGCCCGCTCCACAACATGCAAGCACTAAAACCCGTCCGACTTTACGGCCAATTATCGACCAGCGGATACTTGGCCGAAAAATTGTACGACAAAAGGACTATGCAGATTTATTGGAACATTGTACGACAACTCTGTTCACACCAGACTTCTTTTCGCGCCAATTTTGACGATTTTTCGTCCGTTTTCATGTCGGCCGAAAAGTCGGCCTAGTGTGTAACCCGCAGTAGATATTGTTTGCGCGACTGAAAACTACTGATTATCTCTCTCCGTGTTTCGCTATCTGCAGAATGGCTATCCCGAAGCACATTTGAAAGCGCTCGTGGAACAAGTAAGGACAAATACACACACACACATTTAAATACATGCACACCCCCAACACACACATACACTCACATGCATACACGCACGCACACCAATGTACATACCTGTACGTTCACATACATAATACACACGCAAAGATTACGCAAGCACACACACACACACACGCTCGCGCACATACGAACATGCACACATGGCTATTATCAGGCTACTGTTATTTGCTGTCAGTGTGGAATTTAGGAAATGACTCTGGTTCATAGCGTTGGGTTCAAACAAACATTACAGTTAATAGGGAACAACAAATTAAACATTTGCTTTTGAAAGAATCCATTTCAAAACAATTAATCTCCTTTAAATTAAACATATTCTCCCAAACTCCACGTACCTGGACATATACAATGTACCTGCACAACCCCCCCCCCCCCCTCCCCCCCTCCCATGCACCCATGCACCTACCCACCCAGTCTCACGCGCCCTCAAGGCTTTCTTGGCATCATAGTCTGATACGCGCCTAGAAAGTCCGTCTACTACATTCATAGTGCTTGGAAATTGACAGAAACCCTGCTGTCAAGCGATCCAACATCTCAGTGCAGTGAATGTGTATTGGAAAGTCTGCAGTGATTTTTGATGTACAAGCCTCGCAAGAGTATATTAAATCCACATTGGATTATACCAGTAAGCCACTCCCCCCCCCCCAATTATTTTGCCACGAAACACAGACATAATTATACCCTATTTGTCACCGTTAGTTTTGTCATCGGAGTACATGTACATGGCACACCCCTTTTCTGTGGTGAATTTTGAATACTCAAAGTGCGGCTTATACTCCGGAATCTCGTTATCTAACATGTGTCTGCTTCCGTTAACAGTAGATTTTTGCCTCGCGCGTTTGACCTGTGTTATTGGTTGTGCCTCTGTACAGCATACACACGCTGGGGGAGACAAGACTGTCCTGACGGCACTGAGCAAGTATACACGGGGTACTCGGCAGGATCTTACTCTTCGCACAAAGGCGGTGGAGCTAACATCCTCTGCCTTCACGGGGAACCCGTGTATGGACGCAGCGCATCCCACCAATGGGGTTCTCCCATCTACGGTGTCACGTATCATCTTTCTGGGCAATCACAACCGTACACTGGAGCGTCACTGGAGGGTAAAACAGTTCCTTGCACTGTGTGTCTGGCCACGAACAGAAGCAGTACAGTTATGATCCCAGCCAGGAACGACTGTCCGGAAGAATGGCATCTCGAGTATCATGGCTACATGATGGGCTCACCATACAACAGCGATTTTCGTGGAGAATATCTATGCTTTGATGATGCTGCTGAAGGGCTGGGCCCGTCCGGTACTCCAGGTCACCGCATATCCCCAGTACAAATTGACCACCCCTATGGTCTGCCTAGTGTCTACGTTGATCCCAAGGAGATTACCTGCTCCGTGTGCACTCGCTAGCCACCGCCTGCCCATTGCCGCCATTGCTTGCTACACTAATTTTCATGTGTGATGGTCCAGAGACCAAACATGTACATGCACCCTATCTTTGTTCACCTTTTCCAAGACTAACATAACAAACCTTGTGCTGTTTTCATGCTATTCTTATGCTCGTACCACCATCCATCTTGGAGCTGGTAGCTGCTTGGCATGTACTAGTTATCAATGGTCTCTTCGGTGTACTTTGCAGGAAGTGCATTTCGTCGAAACAATCGATGGCTTTACCTCCCATTTACTTTATTAGACAAGCCTAGGCCATTTTCACTACATCCAGCTCACATGCGTTAGGACAACATTGTCACTCATCACAAGTGACGTCACTCACGTGAACACCCTCAGCTAGCTTCCTTTGCCCTTCTCTGTGCCTGGTGTTGTTGTTTGTTGTTTTCTTTATTTTTGAATTCGCTAAAACCAAACCGACTAAGCTGTCCAGTGACAAGGGTGCGAATGATGAGCGTCATAATCACTATGCATCAAAACATCTCGGGGCAAAATGAGACAGACTAGAAGAAGGTGTGTGCACGTGTACTGCATGCACAGTTGTCTAAAGTCCCTAGGCTGCTTACAGTGCTCAATGTCCTGTGGACAGAGCCAGTAATACAAATATTTACAGCAATGAATCAAACAAGTATCTGTCTGATGAAGTGTTTTGACACGAAACTCGGAGTAACAGCGGAAAGAGACTTGTTTGATTCATTGCTGTGTAATATTTGTACATGTATGTACATGTAGACTAGACACAATTATACCGACAAACCACACACCTGTCATTTTCATCTATTTCATTTTCATTTAGACTTTATTTGAAGGATTCTCCAAAAGTAAATGGATACTTATCGGGGGAGTTTCCTGGAAGGGTGGATGAGACGAAAGGGAAGTGAAAAGGGAGAAGGGAAAATAGTACTGAGCAGAAACACTGCTCAGGGAAAACTACAGGTAAAACCACCAGGGAGAAACAGAATACATGACGAGAGCTAGATACGAAAATCAGGAATTCCAGTGGTGGAGAATTTGCACGTTAAATAATGGTCATTAAAGAGCAAAAGGTCACATACCATGATTCGACATGCAGAGAAAAAATCTGTCTGCACCAGTATGTGGGGCTTGGTTTGGATATACTAATGTTACATACATATTTAGTGCGATGCACATGAACATGTACACGTATATGGATGAAGAAGAGCAGCACAATTCGAAGATATGACCGCTAAAAGTCATCTTGAAATGTTGATTTCTTTGTTCACCTTTTTTCAAGACTAAAGCTGTGTTCACAACTGGCGCGTGGACGCGGTACGCTTGCGGTTCATGGGTGCCCAAACTCGCGTTCAGGCTTTCACAAAAAACAGCAATTCGAGTCGTATTCAGCGCGTGCGACACCTTCGAGTACTAATTTGTTGACCCCACCAGTGAAAGTGACTGGCATGTACGCTGGTACGCGCTGAAAATTCCAACATGTTGGAATTTCCATTTCGGCGCGTTTCCGTACGCATGGCGCCCCAAAAGCCAGCAAAAATACGCACAAACGCGTGGTTTCACGCGTACACGCGCTAGTTGTGAACACAGCTTATCACAATAAACCTTGTGCTGTTTTCATGCTACATGTATTCTTATGCTCGTACCACCATCTCCCTTGGAGCTGGTAACTGCTTGTTATGTGGTATGTTGCTATTTTGTGTTCCAATTGGTTTACTAGCATTTTTCAAAATTGAGTTTTGTATTTCAAAGTAGTTTATTGAATTTTGAATTTGTTTGATGATATGTGCAATTCATTTTGTCCGCACAAGAGACTTTAACTATCAGAAAACAGTAATGAGTAAATCTGGATCAGTACTGGGTTTTATCACATGTCATGTGAGTGTTTCCTAGGATCGGGCCAATCACTGATCTGTATGAGCGCGCAATAAATCAGTCCAACGCCCGCGTCCAAAGCCCATCGTCCGTGACAACCCTGAGAGTGAGACTGGACGCGTGAAATCAACGGGATGCTAACATGCTGAATGTGTAGTACAGTGTACTTGTGAACACTTGGTCGACACTGGCGATCTCAGCTTTTTTTAATTTTATTTTTACAAAGACCACTTAAATGCCAAACATGAGATGCAGCTAGGGGAAGCACGCACAACCTGAATCGTGGCAGTGGTGGTGAGGTTTAGGGAGCTCCGCCGACCTAGACTCTCGACTTCATTGCCACCTAGACGCACGAAGAGTGGGTGGGGGAGGGAGAGCAAGATTTCCTTTCAAGTGTTGCTGCACACGAGGGCGACCTTCTCCTTTAGTTTTGATTCTTTCAGGTTAGCGTCTTCATTAATGTTATGCTGAAAGTAGGGACCGGTGGATTCTGCTCGAAAAGCAGTGAAATTGGCAGAACCTCACAAACCTTATGGCGGGCAATTCCTCGAATTCTGCTGCATTTCTTTATCCACATACCAAACATGCATGAAACTTACCAGAAAAAGTACCGAATTCTGCCATTTTTCTGCCGCCAGAATCCGCCGGACCCTAGCTGAAAGTGATAAATCCATTATGGTGTGGTTGGTCGGGCAATGAAGTGCTCCCGAGGGCCGTTTTTCCGAGGGCTCACTTGGAGGGCACAGAAAATCCATCATTGCCCGACAAAGCATGCCATAATAATTATTATAATTATACATATACCCACAAAGCAAAGTGTAAATGAAAGTCTAAATGTTTTCTGATGATCGCTTAGTGCATGAAACTCAGCGTAAAAATAAAAACACGTTTTCCGTCCTCTGAGTCTTAGTGTTTGAACTACATGAAGCTCTGCCTCTCAGCATCCATTGCATTTCCTTCCTCTATTGCCTAATTCTATTTCTCCATACCAAGAAGCAAGAGTATGTAATCTCCTGGGAGCCAATTTACTCTTGCCAATAGTTGTAATGGTAGTTTTGCCTTCTTGCCTATTCAATGTGTGAAGTAATGACTAAAAAAACAACTCTATAAGCTGCTGTTCAGTTAATTAATGATATTGATCTATCCGGTGTACCAAATCCGTATGCCCATTTCACACCACTGCTTGCGAACGCCGCCTATTCTGATTCACGTAGTTAAAAGTGACAAGCCAGTGATATGCTTGACAGGATATCACGTGATCACGGACTCTCCATAGACAGTATCTACATCTCAACTGATGAGGTACTCGCATAACTTCTATGGCAAGAGATAGATAGATAGATAGAGAGAGAGAGAGAGAGAAAGTGAGAGAGAGAGAGAGATAGAGAGAGAGAGGGAGAAAGAGAGAGAGAGAGAGAGAGAGAGAGAGAGAGAGAGAGAGAGTATATGTGTGTGTGTAGTTGGTGATTGGTGATTTGGTCATCCCAGCATTCTTGGCAAGACACTCCCATGATCGAGCGGATGCATCGGTGGTGGAAGATAGAGAGCCGCTGCAAATCCCGTTGAAGAGGCGTCCAACACTCCGAACCGTACAGCAAGAGCGACAAGACACAGGCGTCGAACACACACCTCTTGATGTGGAGGTCCAGGTGCTTGTTGCCAAAGATGGACTTTTGCAAAGTGCCACACGCTCGGGAGGCATTCGCAATGCGGGAGTCAACATCGCAGGATGAACGACCGCCGCTGTGCTGTGAATTACTGAACCCAGATACTTAGATTCGGTGACACAGACAATGTCGATACCAGCTAGACTGAGGGGTACGCGGTCAGCAGCAGACACATCAGCACCAGCAACCAAAAACTTTGTCTTTGTGGCACTAACCGCGAGGCCAAATTCGGACGACGTGTTGTCAAAGGTTGTCAATGCGACCTCGGCACCAGCTCTTGATGTAGCGAACAATGCCGAGTCATCAGCGAACTGAGCCTCTGTAGCGGTAGTGACAGGGTCGGTGCGGTGAGACTTCCTGTAGATGTTACCAGTGTCAGAATTGTGCGAGAAACTGAAACCAATACCAGGTACACCACTAACGCGCTGCTGCCATCTGCTTACCACGGCCCACATGAAAATGTTAAACAGCACGGGCGCCATTGACCAACCCTGGCGTAGACCATTATGAACGCTAAAGGGATCTACAGGTGTACCACTCATGCGTAATACAGCAGCCATTGAGGTGTGAAACGACTTGTTCACCGCCAGCATGGGTGAAGGGACGCCAGCTCTAGCCAATACCTGCCAGAGACACTCACGAGGAACCGAGTCGTAAGCTTTCCGCAAATCGATGAAGACAAAGAAACCCTTGGTTTGATGTTCTACTGTCTTCTCCAAGAGTTGGCGGATAGTAAATATCATGTCGGAGCATGATCTGCCACGGCGGAAGCCACACTGCGATTCCGGGAGGAATTCTTTGGCCAGAGACTGGAGGCGTAGCTGAATGACTCCTGCTAGTGCCTTGCCTACGACATCCAGCAAAGATATCCCACGCAAGTTATCGCACCTGGAGAGGTCACCTTTTTTGGGTATTGGCACCAGCATGGCATCTAACCACTCCTGGGGGACACGACCCTTACGCCACACATCGCCAAACAGCCCATGAAGGCTGAGAAACAGCTGCTCGCCACCAAATTTCAGCATTTCCGGGAGGATACCAGAGGCTCCAGCCGATTTCCCGCTCTGGAGCTTGCCAATAGCACGACGAACTTCCTCCAGTGTCGGGGGACTAGCGAAATCTTGGGCTACCGGCAGTTGTGGGATGGAGTCCAGCGCACTAGGTGACCACGTGTGAGGTGGGGTGATCCCGACACCATCCGCACGAAGGTGGAGCACCGCCGCCTTGAATGGCTCGGACATGTTGCTCGGATGGACGACCACCGGCTGCCGAAGCAAGTTCTCTTTGGCACGCTTCCGTCGCGTCGCCCAGCTCATGGCCCTCGTCGGCGCTGGAAGGATTGTATTATGTCTGACCTTCGTTCTCGCGGCCTCGAGGGGGAATGGCGAGCTGAGTGCGAGTCGCGTTCCACCTGGCGCTCGGCGTACTCAGCACCGGTACTGCGGTAGATGCCCAGCATCCCCCCCCCCCTCCCGTCACCTGCTACACCTGCGACCGACAGTTTGCACGCCCCAGTGATCGCGCACGCCACAAGTGTAAGGTTGAGCGTGCGAAGCCGGTTGCGGAGCAGAACGGTGCATGCCAGTGTGGAGAGTGTGGCCGTTGGCTGAAGTCCCGTGGAGGTCTGGCAAGGCACAAGTGCACTTACCCCCAGTCAGCAGTCGGTGCGCCCCTGCCGCTGCCTGCTTCTCCGCTGTGCTGCGTCGCTCACTGCCAGGCTTGTGACCGCTGCTTTGCGTATACACGTGGCCGCGCCCGTCATCGCTGCTCACGGACTTGTAGTCGCCTGACCGTTCAGGACCGTCAGGGTTTCACATGTGTTTGCGCCTGGTCCCGCCGATTTCGCTTACCGCATCACCTGGATCGCCACAGGGCTGTGTGCTCCTCCTCTCTCTCAGCTGCCCC